AAACTAAATAAAGTAAAACTAATAAATAAAAACTATATAGACATGTTTTAAAACTGAGTCAGTAGATCCTTCCTCAGAGGAATCTGCCAGGGAGGGGCTGTCATGAGGAGCATGGTCCAAGTGGGCAAATATGGCATCACAAACAGGACCTGCCCCCCGTCCTCCCTGACCTTGCACAGCGTCTGTGCGATAAGGCTCACTGTGGAATTTATTTATTTTTTTTTTTGAAAAGTCTCCATTCTCCGGGGAGCACAGCTCGTCGGCTGCACGGTTGTGCAGGCCCGGAATGTAAATGGCATGACGCGACCTCAGATGCTTCTGACTGGGCAAGTTGCAACGGGAGCATAGACCACCTTGTCGGTTGATGTACGCAACGATCACAGTGTTGTCCGTGCAGACCAGCATGTGCTTGCCTCGTAAGCGCCCTCTGAGATGGTTCAAGGCAAGGCGTACTGCTAACAACTCTAGGCGGTTGATGTGCTAGTGCAGTTGGGGGCCCGTCCAAACCCCCGACACTGCGTGCCCGTTGTACGTGGCCCCCCAGCCAGTGGTGGAGGCATCCGTGTAAACCACAGCATGGTTTACACCAACAGGCTGGTGTGACTTGGACCCGGTGAGTGCCGCATAGCCATGCCCACCTCAGGACTCGGCCATGGAGCCAGTGTTGAAGCGGTCTCATATGAAGCAGCCCCAGCGGCGTGACTGCAGCTGCCTTATGCCCCAGGAGCCTCTGAAACCGTTTCAGTGGGACCGCTGTCCTGCTCTTGAACATATTCAGGCAGTTCAACACCGACTGAGCACGTCCCTGCATGAGGCGTGCTCGACCAAATCCAACTCTATACCGAGAAAAGAGATCCTCTGCGTCGAGAAGAGTTTACTCTTTTCCCAGTTGACCTGAAGGCCCAACCAGCTGAGGTGCGAGTGCACCAAGTCCCTGTGTTCGCACAATTGATCCTGAGACTGAGCTAGTATGAGCCAGTCGTCGAGGTAGTTGAGAATGCGAATGCCCTGCTCTCTCAGGGGAACAAGGGCTGCCTCTGCAACTTTCGTGAAGATACAGGGTGACAGGGACAGCCCGGAGGGTAGGACCTTGTACTGATATGCTCGTCCTTCGAATGCGAACCGCAGCAATGGTCTGTGGTGCGGATTGACACATAAAAGTACGCGTCCTTCAGGTCGATCGCTGAAAACCAATCTCGGGGACGGATGCACCCGAAGATACATTTCTGTGTCAACATCTTGAACAGTAACCGGTGAAGGGCCCATTTCAAGACACGCAGGTCCAAGATCGGTCGTAACCCACCGCCTTTCTTGGGTACAATGAAAGTAGGTGCTGTAAAACCCCGTCTTCATATCGGCTGGAGGGACCGGCTCTATCGCGTCCTTCGCCAGTAGGACTGCGATCTCCCCACGCAAGACAGGAGCATCGTCTGATGTGAAGCGGATGCCGCTGAACTTGGGGGACGCCGGGCAAACTGAATTGCATAGCTGAGTCTGATGGTCCGCAGGAGACAGCAAGACGTTCGGGTACCCAGACACCGTACAAGCTAGACCAGCGGGACCACCGACGTACCTGCGTTGTGGCAGCGAGGTGGAACGCAGGGACCCGGTCCATTGGGCAGACCAAAGGAGCTAACAGGTCGGTGTCCGGCAGAAAAAGGTGCCTTCCACGACCTGGTAAGCCCTCTCATGCATCTCCGGGAAGAATGGCACCGGGGCGGGGCGCTGAGAACGAGCGCGGACCACCCCGTAGAACCAATCGTCCAACCTTGAGGGCTCGGGACACGGTGGAGTTTTCCACTCAAGCCCTACCCCTACGGCGGCCCGGGAAAGCATAGCCGTTATTTCCGGATCCGATTCAGGCATTGCTACAGTCCCAGAGGGCAGCAGCGCAGCCACATCTTCCTCTCCAGAAAGCTCCGGCTCACCCTCTGATGCAGCGAT